GCCATTTTACCAAGCAATACTCATCATTCTGTACGAGAGGGGTCCTTAGATTTACCTCTTCTCCAGGCTTTTAGATGTACAAACTATAATAGGAGTTTATCTTTAAAAGAAAGAAAAGAAAAACTAAAAGCCTCCAACTATAAGTAGTTTAAAATCTGGTTCTTGATGCACACTAGAAATAAGGTTCATTTCCCATGATTCTCCATATATAATTTTGTGTTGAGATCCATTATGTGATTTTATTCTATTGAATATATGACTGTTATTAATAAATTGAATGGTCACATAATTCTTGAAGTGTTGGAGCAGGTCCAGAGAAGAGCAACGAGGCTGGTGAAGGGACTGGAGCACAAGTGCCATGAGGAGAGGCTGAGGGAGCTGGGGGTGTTCAGCCTGGAGAAGAGGAGGCTCAGGGGAGACCTTATCACCCTCTGCAACTCCCTGACAGGAGGTTGGAGTCAGGTGGGGGTTGGTCTCTTCTCCCAGGCAACCAGCAGCAGAACAAGCTCTGCCAGGGGAGGGTTAGGTTGGATATTAGGAAGAGATTTTTTACAGAGAGAGTGATCAGGCACTGGAATGTGCTGCCCAGGGAGGTGGTGGATTCACCATCCCTGGAGGTTTTCAAGCTGAGCCTGGATGTGGCACTTAGAGCCATGGTCTGGTAACCACAGTAGGGTTGGACTTGATGATCTTGGAGGTCTCTTCCAACCTGGCTGATTCTGTGATAATAAAAGTGGTCACAGACCAGTCACTGGAGAAGTTCTGATTCACAGTTAACCCTTCAGAAGAGCCTGGGTGGGGATTTCCAGTGTAGTATCACATGGTGAATCACCACTTGTGGATCATGACTGCCAGGCCCCCTGTGTGCTGTCCAGTCTCAAGAAGAATTACATCAGGCTGTGCCCCTTTCCTTCTCAGAATGTTCTTTCCATTTTTTCCATTGTGCAGAAGTCCTAGTACAAGGAGTTTATTTGACACTTTGCATGGCTCTCTGCAGCTATCCTTGATTTAAAAGGCCATCCTTAAGAATGTAGCACACAACACTGTTCTGTTGGTTTGTCTTCCTTATTTTCAGGCTGAAATCTTGACAGCAATTTTAGGTGTGCTCTTTTCTGCTGCACACAATCTGTTTGTCATGGTTTAACTGCAGCTAGCAACCAAGCACCACACAGCCACTCACACCCTCCCCCATGGGATGGGGAGGAGAATTGGAGAAGAAAATAAAACTCATGTTGAGATAAGCACAGTATTGTAATTGAAACAAAGTAATAATAATAATAATAATGATACTACTAATAATTGTAATAAAAAAGGAGAGGGAGATAAAACCGCAGAAAGGCAAGTGATGCACAATACAATTGCTCACCACATGTTGACCCATGCCAAGCCTGTCCCTGATCCACCATCAGCTCTCCCAGTTCCAGGTAACTCCCTTAGGTTATATACAGGGAATGACATTCCATGGTGTGGAATTGCCCTTTGACCAGTTCTGGTCACCTGTCCCAGCCATGCTCCGTCCCAGTTTTGTGTGTACCTCCTCACTGGCCAAGCACGGGACACCGAAAAGTCCTTGACTTAGGATAAGCACAACCAAAGCATCCGTGTGTTATCAATTATCAGTTCTCAGTTTTCATACTGAATCCAAACCACAGCCCTAAGAGCTACCGAGAAGAAAATGAACTCTGTTGCAGATAAAACTCTGACAGTCTGTGTGCACTTACAGAACACCTCTGGCTACACTCTTCTGTCTGAAGAAACACTGCAAGTCCTGCTCTTTTCTAGGTTTCCCAGCTTTTCACTTCCTTGGTGACCAGTCTTTTTCTCTGGGCAAGTTGTGTTTGTCAGCAAGCTCCAAGAGTCTTCCTTTCACAGAGGAAGACAACCCCAGCCCAGGCAGAGCAGGGATCTCCCCAACACAGAGCTGAATGGTGACATTAAAAGGTTGACTGTCCAGCAACCGTCAGGCAAATGCAAGGCAAGTCAGATCCCAGGTTAAAGGCAAGTGGAGAAGCTGAGAGGAGTAGGGGACAGGGCTGGGCACAAACCTACCAACAGCAGAGCTCAGGGAAGGCTCAGGATGGAACTTGGAGGCAGCACCTGGACCTGTGTGCTGAGGATGGAAGCTGAGCAGGGCATGCTGAGGCTCCTGGTGCACTTGAGGCCCCATCAGTCAGCCTTGTTCCTACTCCTAGTTTTTCCTCAGTGTAATCACAACTCTTTCATGCTATTTCTGACAATAGCAACTTGCCACACACCTGTGCTTCATGCAGGTAAATCCAGCAGAAAACACAAATGAATGCAGAAGAGAAAAACAACACTGAATAGTTCCAGAGTAGTGGATGAGATCATTAGCACTACAAAGAACAACAACAACACCACAAAAAAAAGCCCCACAAACCCACAAACCACAACCCACCCCCAAAGACACAAAACGGATCCTTTTTTTAGTCAAAATATTTTTATTTAGCAGGTTTGCTTCCCCCCCAAGGTTTGCTCATTATTTCTGATTTCTCATGCTTCCATTCTTTCAGTACAATATATTAACACCTTGCACCTCATTAGCACTTTCCAGTTAAGGCTCTTAAAGCATTTACAGACATGAGTTAACTAATCCTCACAACAATCGTTAGCAGTAGGGAAGTAAAATGATCTGCATCTGCAGAGAGAAGATCAACATTTTCCAAGTTTTGATTTTCAGTGTCCAGCTTGCATTATGCTTGGCTTGACAAACATATGTGTCCCTGCAGTTGTATTTCATGCTTTTGAAAGAAAGACTTGGAACACTCAAAATCTAAAGCTATTTATGAGCATCTTTCTTTAGAAACTTGTTGAAGGCCACACAAAAAGTGAGCAGCACAATCCAAAACTGTGAACAAGGCATAACTTCCAGTTATGTGCTATACTATGAGACAGAACTCTTTGTAACTTACCTTTGGACTTTAAAACCACAATCCATTCCCTTCTCCTTACACATGATCCTCTACTGGCCATTTCCAGCAGATTTCAACCTCAGGTACTCACATCTGCATTTTACTAGCAAGTTTTACACCAGGGTCTCCACAGTCATCAGTTGTGTACTGCATACAATGCCTTTGGGTGACTGCAATGAGCCTTAATGAATAAAAAGAAACCACTAAAACCGCAACAAGCAACAGGCATGGTCTTTATCTTTGAGCATTTAAAGCAAACTTCAGAGTTTATGGAAAAGTCTAATATGTGATGGTTTTAAGGAAAACAACCTCAACCCCAAACCTGGTTCAAATGAAAGACTAAATAGGAACTCGACATTAATACCTTCTTATCAGTAGTGCATCTGCATAGAGATTCTTCATAAAACCCTGCAAATTCACAATTGTACCTTGCAAACAGAAGTGCTAAGACTGTTCAAGCAAACAATGACTTCAGAATACTCATTCAGTCCATGCAAATGGTATCTTCACGTTAACTGCACCTTAAGATGCATGGAATGCAGACAAAACTTTTCCTTAGCTTAACACTGAAAATTCAAACAGTCAGACAAACACAAGCAAGTGTTTTAACAGAAACGATATAAAATGTCACTGGCTTAAAAAACATCTAAGTGAGAAATCTTGGTTATTTCACCGAGTTTTTTTCCTAGACCCTACGTTTAAAACGGTGCATTTACAGAACTATTCAGATGAATTAGGCTTCTTCTGCCACACTAAATACTGGAATTCTGATCGATTGTGCAAGTATTAAAAAATATTAACATTTTAAATGTCAACATTACAATTTTAAATAGCCTTGCAAGTGCAATGTTATAAATATTAAAAAAAAACAACTCAGAGCTACAATTTTATATAAGTTATATGAGTAAATGAAAGTGCTTTTCAAGTATTTATGTTCGTTTACAGTTGGATTCTCTTGTATAAGTCAGTGCTTAGATGGTACACTGTCAGTCTTTTCAAAACTTTTGGATGCAAACATTTAACTGGATGGAATAAGTGGTTCCATTTGCAGAAATGTGTGATAAATATTTAAATACAGAATATAATTCGTGATAAATATTTAAATATTGACTATCATAAAATCGAAGCATTATAGATCTTGTTTTCTATGAAAAATAAAATAGCAAGACACCACATCCTGACGGCTGTGTGATAACCTGACCATGCCATGGGAACCCTTGAGCCACACAGTAATTGTTAATTCCAGCAGAATCCCAGGTTATGATATGGGAAATGGTTTTGCTTTAGGAGAGATGAGTGATCAGAATAGAGGCCCAAAATATTGTCAGCTTTTGGAGAACTTAGAGCTCATGATGCATGTCAAAAGCCACGAAATCTTAATGCAAACTTGCCAACACTTTCAATTAGTCAGCCCTTAGCCACAGTCACTCTGGAGAACACAGCCAGTGCATATCACCACCGTCCTGCCTGCCCTGTGCGTGGTGTAACTCCCTCTCTGGCCACTCAACAACCACTACCGTCACAGTGAGACAGCCCAGACTGCATTCCTGTTTGCCAGCCAGAGGAAGGCTGAGGGAAGTGGGGAGATACTTGTTTATTAGCCAAGAAAACCAAACCAAAACAACTCTCAATGAATCATTATCTAGTTAAAAGTGCACTGAAAGTATTTCCTATTGAACCCTATTCTCTCAGAAGTGCCAGATTTGTCATGTTAAATGATATCCACTTGGAACACTGAACATAGGTAAGCTGATACAGGAGCGTTTCAGTTTGTCTTGCTGTTTGAAAAGCACATGACAAGGCAGTGTTAACATCTCTCGTTAAGGCTCTGGTGGTGCCGTAGTTTTACTGTGAAGATGCAGCTCAGCAATGACATGAAGGCAAATTGCCATTACAAGCTTCCTCCAACAAAGTGCTTTGCCACTTGCCAAAGACAAAAGTCCAGTTGTGGCCCTACCTCACCACAGTGCTGCACAGGCAGCGGAACTTCAATAAATTATAGCTCTTAAGAGTTAGGCAATTCTTTGTAAGAAAAGCAGAGTTTCATGTTCCACGAAGAGTGGCCACTGTTTAGATTGGTCTCTTCATGCAGACCTGACAACGACTGATGATGTTTTCTAGTTCTCCTGCTTTCAAAGTCTGTGGCAGAGGTCTCCTGAAAGAGAAAACAAACAATTACTTTTTTTTTTCTTTAGAAAACAGAGAGAGCTGATGAAACTTTGGATATGGAATTACTGACAACACTGAAATTCTTGGCTCACTCAAGGTGCTTGTGTGCTACAGAATGACTGTAAACCATAGAATCATAGAATTTTTAGGGATTGGAATGGACCTTAGAGATCATCCAGCCCCAACCCCCTGCCCTGGGCAGAGACACCTCCCACCAGAGCAGGTTACTCAAGGCTTTATCCAGCCTGGAATGAACACTGCCAGGGTTGGGGCAGCCACAGCCTCCCTTTGCCAGTGTCTCACCACCCTCAGAGGAAAAACGTTTTTCCTAATATCTAGCCTAAATTTCCCCTCCTTCAATCTGAACCCATTACCCCTTGTCCTATCACTGCATTCCTAACACAGAGTCCCTCTGCAGCAACTCTGTAGCCCCTTCACATACTGAAATATTGCTCTGAGGTCTCCACACAACCTCCTCTTCTCCAGACTGAACAGCCCCAACTCCCTCAGCCTGAAACCTAACAAAGGGGGATGTCTACACTGAGGAGAATTACTTGGGGATCCTCCACAGCTTCTGCAGGCACTTATTGCCTCCTCGGGAATTGCAGCACGGGGGCAATGCGTAGGGATGCAGGGAAGTACAGCCTACCTGAACATTCTTCTTGGATCTAATGATGCCAACCAGAAGCTGTAGGAATTCGTGTAGTAGTTGCACGTTCCCCTGCCATGGCACTCTATGAATGGGACAGCTCGAAATTCTTCCAAACAAGATCCAGGAGATGCCAACGCTTGGCCAGAAGCTTCTGAGCCGGCGCTTGTATACTGTAACCACCAATACATTTTTTTTATGAGAACTTGTCCATCAAGCCAAACAAAAACCTCTTTCTAAAACACACCACATGTTCTGTGGTGTATCTCACACAAAACAAAATGAACACAGATCAGTTTGATAATTTCTAATGAAGCACAGAAGCTTTATGAAAATTCAAGCAGTTATGACATTTCTTAGTCCCTGCAAAGGCCTTTTTCTGCTCCATAAAAAGGCAAGAAACCAACCAGTGCAAAGCCTAGAAAGTCTCAGGCTTCTGTAAAGCTGAAGACTACAATAATAATTCACAACAGTAGAAAACTGGCTAGGAAATACCATTAACTTTGCTGATTAATTGGAAACAAGCAAATTATTTTAACCAGAGACTGCAAAAATTCTCGTATTCTTTTCCAAATCTATTATTGTGATTACTACTTAGGAGCAAATTGCAGGAGACAACAAATTTCACACTAGACCCCAAAATGACTTTACATTATGCAGAAGAGAGGGGTTTGAGTTCTGTCTTTCACCTTCATTTGCTGGCATCCCTATCACATAGAATTATAGAATTTAAGGGTTGGAATGGACCTGACGGATTATCTAGCCCCAACCCCCTGCCCTGGGCAGGGACACCTCCCACCAGAGCATGTTGCTCAAGGCTTATACAGCCTGGCCTTGAACACTGTCAGGGTTGGGGCAGCCACAGCCTCCCTGGGCAACCTGGGCCAGTGTCTCACCACCCTTAGAGTAAAATACTTTCTTCTAATATCTAACCTAAACTTCCCCTCCTTCAGTTTGAGTCCATACCCCTTGTTCTATCATTGCAGATCAGAATAGTTGTTTCTATGCTTTTGGAACTGAATAAGAAATAATAGAATTATTGTTTTGGCAGAGACAAAAAAACGCAAAAGAATTTAACAATTATTAAGAAACAAATGAGCTGTGAACAGCTGAAAACACCACTGAAAATGAGAGGACATAAAACCAATAATTCAAGTCATTTTATCCTTACCATAACAAAAGAAAAACCCTTCCAGAGGGATATCCAGCCTTCTGGACACGCAGGAACTACAGTCGTTTGGCTGTGAACTGCTAGGACCATCGCAGCACCTTCACAGACAACACACCTGGGAAGGAAAGCACAGGCATTCAGTGCAGACAGGAGAGAAAACAGGAGAGCAGAACAAACTTCTGTCTCTACAACAGTAGCTACCCCATGGCAGGGCTTGATACAGATGTTACAACTCGCACGGGTTTACTCTGGTTAATGAGGAGATAAGTAAATTAACTCATATACCTTACTTTGCAATCTCTTCTAGCAACACCAGACAAAAATTAAGACGGCAATTAATCCCAGAACATCTGAGCTTCCTAATTTTGCCTTTAATGAAATAACAAGCTGAATTTTGCCTATTTCATGGGCTCACTACTTTTTGTTGTTGTGGTTCGGACCAAGGTTCTGTGCTTTTATTTGGCACAGAAATATTTAGCCTTTATTTGCTAAGATTAGAAAAAGTAATCTTTAATTCCTAAATGGGTAACTGTGAAGCTGAGCTACTAGAGTCCAACAACTGGGCAGGGCAGGACAGAAGACAGAGTACAAAACCTGCCTTCCCATCTTGGATTTTGCTCCTCTAGGTCATTCATGCTTTTAGAGCTTTTAAGTTGCTCTTCATCCTTCTCATCTGTTCTAAGCAACTAGAAAGGGCCAGACTTGCACAAAGGTGTTTCATACCAGAGAACCTTCAGCCCCAACTTAAAATGTTCTTCAACTACAGTAAATGTATCACTCACAACTGAAAGCAGAACTTGATTTGTACCGTAGCTGTCTTGATTTCATTTTAGTCCGTCTCTGATATATACAATGATAGGGTTTAAAAAACTAGTATCACTGCAAGCAGCAGGACTGTGTGCCATCCTCTTATGTTTGCTCTGCAGAATAGGCCCTGTGGTGGGACAGTGTTCTAACTTTTCTTTGGAGTATCACTGAATATCTGACCTAATTAAACGAGTAACCAAAAATCACGTTGTTGAAGTCAGTGCTTGTACTGGCTGAGATGGGCAGGTCTTTGCCCAAGATTTGTGACTCCAAACAATTTATGATGTTTTTGTGGTTCCCAGGGCAGAACAGCTAAAATTCTTATCCTCTTACCTGCTTATATGGGGCTCTAATGCCCTGCCAGAAATGGGTGCCATGTCTACTGGCACCACCACAGCAGTTGACAGCCAGTATGAGTAGTCATTGCGAGAGGCAAAGCTACAAACATCATTGGTGCTACAGAATAGGAATGGCATGGTGGTAAATCTCTGCAAGCAGCTACCAGCTGTTCCTGGAAGACAAAAGGGGACAGGTTTGTGACAGACTGGAGATCATGTTTAGGGCAGTGAACAGAAGAGACACACGATGGCACCCGATCTACTGTAGTAAGAATTAAAACAGTTGGTAACTATAAAAAGTGTACAGTAGAATTATCTGAAAGCAAAATGCTTATGGTTCATATAGAAAAATCTATATAAAAAACAAGGGCTAAGAACAAACTCTGTTAAAGTAATATCTTCTTGAATGGTATTGGTTCCTGACACAGTGGCATGGATTCAGCTTCTGGTGATATTTTGGACACCTTAAAACATTCCATTTAGTCTCCTAAACCCCCAAGATTCTCTCTCTGTGCTATCACTGTCAGCTCTGTGCAAATGTTGTGAGCATTTGCACTAGACATCTCTTCATAAATAACTGAATTCTTCCTCAAAAAACCCTAAGGATACCAACAAGGGAATACAGGAGTGCAGGAAAGAAAAGTGTCTTTCAGGGCATGATTCCTGAATTGACTCACAGCAACAAACCACTCTGGAGATGGATTGGCTGAAAACAATGTTCATCTCAGACACTTACTGTAAGTTTGGTTTCATGACAACTTAGCATTACTGGACTCTAAAAAAAATACAATCTGAAATCTTTTACCAATACAGTACCAAGGTCTTGTCCATGTGCTCGTTCATTTCCTTGTACAAAAAGCAGCGAATAGCCAACATAGATCTGGGATGTTCCATGTGGGCATGAAGGAATCTTTGTTGTCTGACTGTGCCGGGTAAAGATAAAACCTCTTCTTGTTGGACCAGCAAGGAGAGTACCTGGTGAGCCAGGTAACCCCTGCAGACCTGGGAAGCCAATCAGTCCAGGCTGTCCTGTGGAGGGGAAATAAACATGACAGCAAATATCATTTTGTCTAAATATTTACCTCATTCAAATTACTAGAACCACATGAAAATGGATAAAAATTATATCAATGTGAAGATACAACTTGAAAATTGGTCATATTTGTTGCTAGATGTATCAGCTCCTTCAGACCTAGCTCAAGCAGCCTTACACTGCATATTTCATATTAACAACAAAAAAAAAAGCTTTAAGTAAAAACATTTTGCAGTAAGTAAATAAAAATACTCCATTCCATTTTGATATAATAAAAAGGCACCCTGAAGCCTAAGGATTTCCAGTGGCTAAAAAGAGGTGATTAATAAAAGAGGTGCAGAGAAAAGGCATATTTTCACAAATTATTTCAGTTATGAACATGCATCAGTTAAAAGCTAAGAAAGTGATTACATGTGGCCCTAAACCTACTGTAAATGTTAGAGAATCTCAATGCACTCAAGAGGAAGGATTTACAGAAATCAGAAGACAATTTATCTGTAGATTCAGTAGCAGCAGCCAAACAGAGATGTCTGTTTTCCTGTACCTCTTTGTCCTGGAAATCCCCTGTCTCCTTTTGGACCAGGCAGTCCTGGATGTCCTGGATGACCAAAACTTCCTGGTAGACCTTTTACTCCTTTAGGTCCTAAACAGGAATCAAGAAAAAGCAGAAGCATATAGCAGTAGTTATTCTAGGTTCTAATAACTGCCAGAGTTAAAATCCTCACATCTGTGTAGCTGAGTTAGAATAAAAACATCAGCATGAACTTACTAAGCTTTCAGACTGTCTGTAGTGCTATGTCATCAGATTTCCTACCAGGAAGGTTATGAAGAAATATTGAAGGTATTGCAGAAAAGTGCCTTCCAGCAACTCTGCCCCCCTGGAGACCTCCCAGGTCCTGGGAAGGGTGGCCAAGTACCCACTAGATATCCACCTCATCCTACCTGTTCCTTGCTTCCCCACACCTCACAGCTGTGCCAGGCTTCCCTTCCCATGCCAATGGAGACACAGCCAGTCTCTCCTTTCCCTTCCCACCCTCAGACTACAACAGACATCACTTTCTAGAATCACCATCATAGAATTTAGAGATTGGAATGGACCTTACAGATTATCCAGTCTCAATCCTCCCTGCCCTGGGCAGGGACACCTCCTCACTAGATCAGGTTGCTCAAGGCTCATCCAGCCTGGCCTTTAACACTGCCAGGGTTGGGGCAGCCACAGCCTCCCTGGGCAACCTGGGCCAGTGTCTCACCACCCTTAGAGCATCAATTTTTTTCCTAATATCTAACCTAAATTTCCCCTCCTTCAGTTTGAACCCATTACCCCTTCTCCTGTCACTGCAGTTCCTAACACAGAGTCCCTCTCTGGCTCCTTGTAGGCCCTTCAGATATCGAAAAGTTGCTCTGAGGTCTCCACACAACCTTCTCTTCTCCAGGCTGAACAGCCCCAGCTCCCTCAGCCTGTCCTCACAGGGGAGATGCTCCAGTGCTCTTATCAACTTCTTGGCTTGCTCTGGACTTGCTCCAACAGTTCCATGTCCTTCTTACATTGAGGGCACCAGAACTGTGTGCAGTATTCCAGGTGAGTCTCACCACAGCAGAGGGGAAGAATCACCTCTTTTGACCTGCTGCCCACACTCCTGTAGATGCAGCCCAGGATTCCATTGGCTTTCTGGGCTGAGCTCACACTGCAGCTCATGATGAGCTTCTTATCCACTGTCACTCCCAAATCTTTCTCCTCACTGCTGGTCTCAATTACTTCCCCACCCAACCTGTAGCTGTGCCTGGGATTGCCATGGCCCAGATGTAGGACCTTGCACTTCATTTTCCAGCACATCTAGAGTACTTGTATTACATGTGGCAAGGACAAACACCCTGGGCATGGTTCTGGTTGCATGAAAATGGTGACTGCTTTGATTCAAGTTTACTTAATGTTTCACTATGTTGCTTAGGCTTATGTTGAGGGACATTCCCACTCACTCCCTGTGAGGGCAGATGGAATGGCACAGGTTATACATATAAAGGTGTTAACAAAGAGCTATTTTTAAACATGGTGAGGGTTTTAAGGACATGTCAATTTTCTATGCAGAACCATGCTTTAACTCACCAAACCAAAACATTCCACTAAGCAGCACACACGAACATGGAGATAAAAATAGCAATCACCTTGTATTCCAGGAATCCCTTGAACTCCTTGATCACCTGGTGCTCCTGGGATTCCCGGCAGTCCAGGAGGACCTTTGCTTCCTGGGATGGAGAATATTCTCCCAGGGCCTCCAGGTGGGCCTAGCAGCAAAAATATAACAAAGACCTATTGCTTTACATTAAAAGAAAGCAAACAAACTACAAACCAAACCAAACCAATCAACCTAAGAGCACTGGTATTAGGAGAAAGGTTGGTTACCATGCTGCCCCTTTGGTCCCCTTGGTCCTTCTGCACCTTGTGGTCCAGGGGGTCCTTGATTACCCTTTTCTCCTAAAAAAAGATGATTGAAGATACATCTGTATGGTTTGAAACATCAAAACAGCTATCAGTGTCTCAGGGGCTTGTTGAAGAGTCCTCCATGGTGCATGGAAAGTTCCCAAAGGGTAGCACAGCCTACAAACTCATTTGAAATGTCAAAGTGGACTTCATCTCTGCTGTTACTGTAACATTTATTGGTCAAGTGCACTCAATTTATAAGATGTAGTCATGCCTATCTTTATGCAATGGTTGGTTGCATAAACCTAGTTTAAAGTCTCAACTTTAGACTGTAATTTCTATCTTACATGTTTTTGTCACTGAATCTGCAGATCAAGTGCTGCCTTCAAGTGCAGTTCAACTCCCTTTAACTGTCAGTTATGCTGAAGGGTTTAAGAGAGGATTTAAGGGCTGCACAGTTTTTCAGGTGTTTGAAATTTAACAAGCAATTCTTTTCACTCATATGCAAAATATGAGGTTATATTCAGCTTATGCTCCACAACTCTGCTTGAAATCAAGTCAGGAGATTTGACAGACTATGCCACAAAATGAGAGACTTTGCTTAAGAAAGTATAATTACTGTCTGTGTGCTGACTTTTCCAAATAGAATAAATTTAAAAGACACAATAATTAGCCCAGCATGCAAACAAGTAGGTGAAACAGGTAATAACAATTCTGTGTCACTGCAAATCATGCACTTGAGAAAGGAGAGTACTGGAGCAATGCAAACCTTTACCAGACTTAAATCACTATAAGAATGTCTAAGTTAAGAAGATATTTAGCTAGTTACTGATTCAACTAACCCTCAGAAATTATCCCTCAGAAATTAATGAAGCCAATACATTTAACAGTTCATCCACTGATAAACTGTAAATGTGATTACAATTGGGACTATTCTTGTAGCAAATTGAGGACCCAGTGCTCTGTGCTGTACTTGTGACTGAATGCTCTTGAGTTCCATAGCCAAAGAGCCACACCTGGCAGTGGTGTGGTATTTCCAATCAGCAGACTCACCCTCACTTCTAATTTAGCAGACTGAGTCCCAGAGTTCTTACATATTATTAGTCACTAAAGACAAACTTGTTTGGAATTTGCCTGGAATGGAGGCCATGGATGTTTCAGTCCTTCCTCTCTTCAACATCAGTTTGGACATACTCATGACATATACCTCAACAAAAACTCTCTCAGTGAATGCTTCTGCAATTTACAGCTGACCTACACACTCATCTTCAGGGCAAAACCTCATGTCTCAGAACCACACCTCACACAACTGCACCAATACTAGTAAAACCTACCATGTAAGTGATGGTATTTGACACACAAAAGTGTATATAACAAATGTACCTTTTACACCTGGGAATCCAGGAAATCCAGGCTGACCTCTAGCACCAGGATAGCCTGATCGACCTTCTATTCCCTGCAAATCAGATAACACCAATAATAAACATGAACAGCATCTATACACTATGAAGAACATTTTATTTTTGCTCAGAGTATTTAAAGCATCATGTTCACAGAATGTGCTGCAACTACAATTATCTGTTCCAATTTTGTGCATGTCATATAGATATAAAAAGTAATAGAACCACAGAATCATAGAATTTAGGGGTTGGAATGGACCTTACAGATCATCTAGTCCCAACCCCTGCCCTGGGCAGAGACACCTCCTCACTAGATCAGGTTGCTCAAGGCTCATCCAGCCTGGCCTTGAACACTGCCA